AAAAAGTGGTAATCGGCCAAAGAAAGTAGCAAAACCGGTAATCGGACAAAGAAAGTAGCAAAACCGATCGATGGCACTTTGTATTTAGACATCTTTTCGCAGACCCAGGTAACATATTATCTTTCACTAGTAGTAGTAGAATGCAAGCTCAATTTCGGCATTTACGCAGGAAAAAAACCCAATCCAATTTAGAGCTGATATAATAAAGCTGAAGTGTGTTGAGTTTGTGCTTGGAGTATCAGTCTGATAGGACCACAATCACGTTGTCATTATTTTTATCTGTATTTTTCTATTCATCAAAATATATTCGTCATCCTTTGGAAATCGAAAGAAACTCAGATTTTGATTCTAATAGGTGCAGTTTATAGCAGAACGCCATTGACATTTCGTGCTAACCGGGACCATGCTTGTCTGCGATCAACGAAAATGCCTTGAACAATGAACGCAGTTTGTTTTGTTTACCGCGCGTTTCTCCACGATCAGCTGGTGACCCAGATACGCGCATCCGGTCGAAGTGCCATCTCTCTAGTGTTACTGTAAACTCTCTGGTGCAACAGGGGACACAACTCTCGGATTATCGCCCAACACTTTGCACTTCCGGTGACTAAGGATTTTCAAGCAAGCAAGTAACACGATTCTAGAAAGAACAACAAACTAGATCTACCCTACTTGGTGAGTAGATTCTACTTAAGTTTTATCTAAGTCTTCTGATGTTAGTATAGTCCATCGCTGCTACTAAATTTGTGTGGCCCTGAATCATCTGAAGTGGGCTACTTATGTGAGCCAAGGTTGAAGGGGGAAGTTTTAGTGTGGACGGTAGCGTCGTTGGCCTGTACCGCTACCGGACGCCAATTTATTGAGGGTTGTAACAGTAGATGTAGATATTAGATCTAGATAGATCTATCTAGATCTAGATCTAATTCTACCAGTTGTCTATTTTCTACTAAATATTGATGCGCAGAACACGAATATCAACTTCATTTCCGTCGCAAATTAATATTTTTGAAATATTTGATTGTTTTTAGTTTTAGGCCACCTCTACTATTCTCACCCGGAGTGAGAATAGTGCAGGCGAGTCTTGTGGCTATTCTCACCCGGTGCGCGTTCACCAAATTTTGCGTTCACCCTAAACCACAGAATTCTACACTGTGAGGAAAAATTGTAGAATTCTGTGCCGTGAACAAACGTTCCATTACAACTGTAGCCTACTAAAAGCGTACAATTTTGTCTGTGGGCAGTGGAGAGAGAAAGAGAGAGAGGAGTAGCGCGAGAATTTCCGGGCAAAACAAAATGGAGACCCGCGTAGTTCGGCTCAATTCGTAAAGTTAAATAGCCGTAGCATCTTTGTAGACAACCAAATTAATTTACTTTTGTGTTTTAACATCATTTTTTAACTTTGTTTTGGTCAATTTGATCGTCCACACCGATAGACAGTATTCAGAAAGAGACAGAGAGAGAAAGAAGAGGGGAGGAGTTGATCTTGCGAGAACTTCCGGGCGGGTGAGAATAGCCACTTTCTTGTTTTTAACCGAGATAGACGTGCTTTGGACCAATCGGCCGGGGGGTTCCAGGGGGGCCTGCCCCACTGGCCACCTCTATTCTCACCCGGGGTGAGAATAGTGCAGGCGAGTCTTTTGGCTATATTCTCACCCGGTGCACGTTCCCCGTTATAGCCTAGATCTAGATCTAGGGGTGCTTTTTCGGTAGTTCCCACCCCCCTTATTTGAGCCTGACCTACTTCTAGATCTAGATCTATACGTTTGATTCGCGGTGAGCTAAGATATCAAACCTAACAACAACAAAACATTAAATTGTGGTAAAATTCAGGGGGGCATGCCCCCCTGAAACCCCCCTACTCTTGGGGCCAAAACCCGTGAATAACAATTGCGGGGTGGGAACTACCGAAAAAGTGCCGATCTAGGTCTAGGCCAACAAATTTTGCGTTCACCCTAAACCACAGAATTCTACACTACTGTGATAACAGAAAAATTGTAGAATTCTGTGCTGTGAACAAACGTTCCATTACAACTGTAGCCTACTAAAAGCGTACAATTGTCTGTGGGCAGTGGAGAGAAAGAGAGAGAGAGAGGAGTAGCGCGAGAACTTCCGGGCAAAACAAAATGGCGACCCGCGTAGTTCGGCTCGGTTCGAAAAGTTAAATAGCCGTAGCATCTTTGTAGACAACCAAATTAATTTACTTTTGTGTTTTAACATCGTTTTTTAACTTTGTTTTTGGTCAATTTGATCGTCCACACCGATAGACAGTATTCAGAAGGAGACAGAGAGAGAGAGAAGAGGGGAGGAGTAGATCTTGCGAGAACTTCCGGGCGGGTGAGAATAGCCACTTTCGCCCCACTGGGGTAAAAGAAAATCTGGGGGGTTACATGGGGGCATGCCCCCCTGTTTTTACCCATTATTTGATATTTTACAGTTAGATTTGAAATTGTCTTGAAAATAATTGATTTGCGATAGTTTTAGTGGCTCTATGTGTGATCTGCAGCAAACAGTACTTCAGTTTGACCCCTGAAAGAGTGCATCTGTGTGCGAGAGTGAAAGTAAAAATTTACCGATCTATAGACCTGCATGTTCATGATGTTTGCCGACAATCGTCTGAAATCCGACAATGGCGATCCGACCCGCAAGCCGGCCGATGCTATTGCTAGGCCCACCTGTATCAGTCAATGCGAAGTGCGAGGCCTGGCCGACTGCCAGCGCCCCCTTTTCTCCCGTCGGCTTTGTCGGCACTTTCGTTTTCGTGCCGACGTCGGCGTTTCCGACATAATTGTCGGAACCTGAGTAGAAATGCGAATACGAAAAATGACGACGACCTAAATTATCTACTTTCAGTTTCGTGCTCGAGCGGCCATTTTGAATTTCGTTTGTTGACAAATTCAATTGTTGAAATCGTGTGGATTCATTCAAGTCCGACTCACTTGTTCTAATAGAATCTAGATCTAGATCTAGATTTATATTATAGATCATTATAGTCCTCAATGGAGGATTCATATTCCAATTCTATTGTGTCAAACCGTACCATAGGTTGTGCTGTAATATTAATGTTGGTAAAAAGCATTTCATCAGGTGCGTGAATTATTTATAGAATCTATACTCGGCTGAGTCCCTCTATTCGGAATCGGATGCAGATTACTAGTTCAAGGCCTATTCCTATTCACTTGTTCTACAAGATCTCGATCTAGATTTATTTAGATTACTAGATCTATATATGGGAGGATTCATATTCCAATTTTATTACTTGTATCAAATCCTATTGTAGCAATGTAGATGAGGCCATTTATGCATGCTCTTTGTTTGTTTTGGAGTGGGGTTTTGGGTGGGTTTTTTTCATTTTGGACTTGTGCTGGCCTTTTTACATGAGGCCCGTTGCAGGTTCTTTTTTGGGGTAGGGTTAGGGTTCTAAGGTGTCTTATTGTGTTTGTTGGGGTGGTCGCTCGTTACTCTGAAAAGTCCTTCCTTATGACACCCACAAATTTAAGCTCTTATTTGTGGGGGGGGGGGTGCAAAATTTTCAGACAATCTGTTTGAGGCTCACATGCAGGTCTAGATCTAGCCTTACCAGTAAGATTCAACTTGTGGACCCAACACTGAACGAAGCCGGAACTACTTTTATGTCTCGCTGTGCAATGGTCCGCACTTTATGTTACTGTTTTGCATTTAGAATCTAGATTCTATGTGTGTTTTTTGTTTTTTAATATTGTTGCCATCAATTGCTGCGCCTTTTGTAGATCCCCAAATGCGTCATTTAGTCATAAGTATGACGTAACTTCTGCTGCGTGCAATGTCAACAATATAGATAGATTCTATGGACGCTCATCTAATGTTAAACACCTTACTTATAAGCAGAAAAATGGAACACTCGACACTCGTGTAAAATCTTAGATGAATTTCGCATTCTACAGATCCACAAAAAGCGCTGCGTGATACACCAATCAAAAACATGCGCAACAATTGATGGATTGTTGCACATTCTATGGATCCAATCGCGCAAATCCACAGAAAGCGCCCAATAAAACTCCCTGATCGGCCCAATAACTTGAAAGGTAGATATTTTGGCTAAATAAATAAAGACTTTTTAAAATGCATAGCCTGGCCTTTAATTTTATTTTCAATTAAAAAGCTCAATGCCTTTTATGATAAAAATGTTGTGGAAAGTCATTTTTTTTTGTATTTTGAGAAGAGAAGGTATTTGTTCTTGTGCATGTCATGTGTTTTTTAAATTTTCTTTTAATTTTTGTGTAATTTTTATTTTGACTTTGTTTCTCTTTCCAGATATTATACTAGTTGAAATGGATCGTTTGCTGAGTTTAGGTGGTAGAGTCCCAGGCCTGGGCCAGGTAATGCCTCATAAATTTGTTTGCTTTCTTACAGATTATCTTTTTAACTTTAGTCTCTCATCCTCTCAACCCTAAAAGTTGATGAACAAGAAAATGTGTTGAATCTCTTTACTTATCAGGACCTAAGTAATTTTAACACTCACCCTCCAACCCTCCTTTTTTTCCCTTCAAAGTACTCATGAAAAGTTTGATGAGACAATGTTTACAAAACTGGTGATTTAGAGCGTTTATTAAAGGGAGCAATGGAAAGTACAGCACTGACAAAGGTTGAATCTCCTGAATGAAATTGACATTTAGACTGCCCAATTTTCAAAGACTCTGTCTTATGTTACTTCAGTATGACATATTTGGTCGCCTTTAAGCTCAAGGGGATATCCCGAAAAATGCTGTTTTGAGAAAATCAAAGGTAAAGTTTTTGCCCCTTGTTCAGTGTCTCTAAAAGACAAGGAGAGTCAAACTAAATACCCACCAATGAAACCAAACTTCTCTTATAGGTAGGGCAATGTCCACTTTAGGTGACGGTCAAGATTTCTGGAAGCCCCCGAAATCTGGGTTAGCCCGCTTGTCCTTAAAAGCAACCATTTATGGCGCACTCTTACACTAAGCAGTCGATTTGAAATTATGGAAAGACACTTTATGCTATTTTTGATGAACTATTGCTCTTGCTGAAATAGACTTGAAACTGCTTTTATGTGTGGAAATTGAAGACAGTACGGGAGGAATTCCGTAATGAGCGACGACTATGAAGAATAGAGCGGATAGAATAGAGAGTTTGGGTTTGGGTAAGGGGTAGGGTCGAGATTAGGAGGGTTAGGTCTCTTCTTTATTGCGTTTGTTGGGGTGGTCACAAATTACGGAAATCCTTCCGACAATGCAGTTGTTTTATTTTTATTTACAAACAGTTTAGTACAAATGTGAATATGCTATATATATTTATGCGTTTATTCTCCTGTAAGAGAAAAAAAAATTACGGTCCTGTACACCCAAGAAAAGATTCCCTCTTGGATAATAAAGTATTATCTTATACTTACCTCATCTTATCTTATAAGGAAAAACAGAAGGGACACATCAGTTTCGGCGTCACATCGAGTTGTCCCTCTTGTTTTGTTACAGATCAGTGGACATGCGTACTATCGTCAGAAATGGTTGAATTAATTCCTCTTTACCCGCAGTAGGGATACAAATTTTTAGTCTGGTGTGTGAAGGACTGCTTAATTTATATGACCAAATCCAATGTGTGAAATTTGACTGTTGTGCAGGGTACCCCTCCCACTGATGTTCCAGTCGTGGATACTGCAGAACAAGTCTACATCTCATCTCTGGCCTTGTTGAAGGTAAGGACTGCTTGGTGCACCTATGTGGTCAGAATTGATGGCTGTTTATCATGACTTTTCTTGTTTTCTGTATTGGTAATGAAGGAAAATCTCCAGAAAATGGTCAGAGCTGCAGAGTTGGGGAAATAAAATTTGGGTCGAAGTATTTCTTGAAATAGCAGCAGGTTGCATGATGTGAACAGAATTAATTAAAAAACAGGGGGGGTTTTTGGAGGGGGGGAGGGTCAGTGATTTATTGCTATTTGTGTGTGTGTATATATCATACATGTACGTGTTGGCTGCTTTCATATGGTGTGTGTGTGTGTGTGTCTCTCATCTTGGTCAGATGCTGAAGCATGGCCGTGCTGGTGTTCCTATGGAAGTGATGGGTTTGATGCTTGGTGAATTTGTTGACGACTACACAGTCCGCGTCATTGATGTTTTCGCCATGCCCCAGTCAGGAACGGTAAAGTCTCTAATGTGAAAAGTAGTGTTATCATTTTTCTTCAATAGATTTTGTCATCGGTGGAACTATTGATGCGTGCCCCTTACTTGTTTTCTGTTAATTTTGATGCTTCAGTAGTTTTGTAATTGAATACTGCTTGACATTCACTGTTATAAATTTGACACAGACGAAATAACGTTAAAAAAATTACCCAAGTATATCATATGATTTTCAATCCGGTGTCTATTCCCTTTTTTTTAATGTGTCGTTTTACTCTTGGACAGTTGCAATTTGCATATTTTACACACCATTGATGGATATGATGCTTCTTTGATATCAAATCTATTTGAGCTGTGAACCAGGGTCAACATTCCTCTCCCTTCTAGTCTCTTTAATTATAATTTCTGTCTTACCTTTCCTGCTTCTGATTAAAATGTCCTTTTGTGCTTTTCTTAAAGATAAGGCATATGAGATTTTGAAAACATGATATCTGCATCTTTAAAGATATAAGCTAAAAGTGCTGAGAAGTTGGTGTTTTCTTGTTCACGTTTAAGGCTCTTCGTTTCCATCTTTGTGAAATTGCAAATTATATCTTATTGGTTGTCTCATTTTTATAATGTTTCTTGCTGTCCAAAGTATGAGAACAAGACCCTTAGCAGCTACAAGCTGTGAAATAATACATGTAAAAAATTCTTTTACAAAAAATAAAAATAAATTCATCCGCACATGTTTTGAATAAACGCAGTTATTAATATTCTTAACTTTTTAAGATTCCTTTTTAAAAAGTATACGAAGTACAACTTTGTCTTTAGAATATATATTTAGTAGTAGTACTTTTACATGTTAGACTAACGACTGGTAAGATTTTTTAATGGTTTACGGTTCAAAGTATTCTAAAACTTTAATATATTTTCATGTTCAGGGTGTAAGTGTTGAAGCTGTGGATCCTGTGTTTCAAGCCAAGATGTTGGACATGCTCAGACAGACGGGAAGGTACCCAGTTGATCATTCAGTTGGTTTGGTAGTCAGACCAGATAACTTGGGAAAATATCTAAGGGTTTGGATTCTTGAGCTGTTGTGTGTGTGTACTTTTCCTTTTCTTGATAGAAAGACCAAACCTGATTTTTTGTTTTATTCAACGAATAAGCATCTTGTCAGAATTGCGTGTGCTTTGAATAAGAGTGAGTTGTTTGTTGTGGTTAAAGCATGTGAATTAAAATTGCATATTTTGGCTGCGGAGGAGGAATGATACAGGTGACAGTATCTTACTGAAGATTTGTAGATTGTGCTAGGAAAATTGGAAAAGGGAAGGGGTGTGAAAATGTTTGTAAAAATGGTAACACTACTGCCGTGGTAGAGTGATGAAGGACTTGGATCATTTTGATGTGTTTCTACATATTATAGATTTGTATGAACATAATGATACACGCACATTGAACAGATAATACATACAAGTCCTGAAATTTTTCCTATTCTATTGTATTCTTTGTATTTGAAACATCTACGCTGGGAAATTCATACTTAACTGAAAGATTTCTACATCCTGCCAGTTTCGCTCTGTGTGCTAGACTTTTTTTTTTGCTTTCTTTTCTTTATTCAGTCTTGAAGACGATACTATGTAAATGAAGTTTTGTTCAAGATGAGTATATTGCTGGTGCAGGTTCTAATAAGAACTGAAATTTATGGGTTTTATTTACCAGAGCCTTGAGATTCTGTGGTGTTCTGGTAATTTGCATGTGTAGAGGGGGGAAGGATCGTCATGGTATTATTTATTCTAAATATATGAATATTGAACATGGCTTTCGTTTGTTTGTCTCCACAGGCCGGAAATGGTGGTGGGTTGGTACCACTCCCATCCTGGCTTCGGCTGCTGGCTCTCAGGTGTGGACATCAACACACAGCAGAGTTTTGAAGCTCTGTCGGAGCGGGCGGTGGCCGTGGTCGTTGACCCCATTCAGAGTGTGAAAGGAAAGGTAAGACTTTAGTGTGTTCCGAAGAGGTTATATGGTGGGACGTCGCTGCTGCGAGCTCTAGTATTATACATATATATATAACTTCTTTGGTGTGTGCTGTCACTGTCTGGTCACAATCCCTTAGTTATGGATACTTGTCTGAAATTACATTTGTATAAGCTCTTTTGCTTTCTTCAGAATAGCATTTGGGTAGATGGACACAGGCCCAATATACATGTTATAAATGTTCTTCAGTTTCATTTTCATTTTAGAAAGTCTGCAAAGTGAGTAGTTGGCTAGGGCTCTGGTATGGTTTACTTATTCTTTCCTATCAATCTATTGTCCTTGTCTATCCTTTTTTTTTTGTGTTTGCTACTCTCTTGTAACACCTCTAGTCTTCAGCACCTGTAACCTTATTGTGTTTCAAGTGCCATAAAACTAAACTCAAGTCAGCAAAAATTTGTATATCTTATTTAGTTTTAGCCCTTAATTGAAGAAGAGGCTGTGTCAAGGCTGAACTTACATAACGGATCAAAGTTTTTTTCCCTAAATGAGCTTGATTCCAAGATGGAAGCTTTAAACTTTGCGCTTAATATTCATCTATGTTTTCTAAGAGACAGTGGAAGGTGCATGCAGATGAGATTCAATTGAACAACTGTGCTCCTTTTTTATTCATTAAAAAATATTTTTTTAAACAGTTTCCACATTATGTTCTTTACCATCACCAGTGCCTGGCAAATATTGAGTTTGTAAAAAATTTGTCACATGATTTTAGGATGAATTTTTGTACATCATGGTTTCAGTATGTTTATCAAAAGTATCGTGAGGGAGGTGGTTGTCAGTTACTTGTCCTCAGCATTGTGTTGAAATTGGCCTTGCCTCAGAGTTTGAATGTTTTACTGTAAGACGCAAAGGTACTACCTGGATGATAAGTGGTTTATGCATGCCTGAAAGTAAAAGAATTAGAACATACGGTAACTGCTATTAGGCCTTCCCTTGAAAGTCAAGCTCGCAATACTTTACAATGCGGTTTCTGTGAGGTTTAATGATTGAAACACTGTGAAAATTAGCATGCAGTATGTATGCAGATTTGCATGAAAAAAACATTGTGGTGGCCTAGCGGTTAGGCTACCGGACTCGTAATCGTGAGGTTGCGGGTTCGGGGGTTCGAGCCGCAGGCCCGACATTGTATCCTTGCGAAAGGCACTTTACATGAATTTTCCCCACTTCACCCAGGTGAAAATTGGTACCCAGCTATAGACAGTGAAAGATCTTGACAGTTTGTTAGTGTTTGAGCGCTTTACCAGCTGCTTGCACTGTATGCTTCCCAAGAAGCTGAGAATGTTTCCGAGTGTTCTATGGTCTGCTGGGATAATAATATAGTGTAAAGCTCATATAGCTTGCTTTCGAGTGGGGATATGCACTATACAAATGCTATTTATTATTATTATTATTCATTCATCCAGTGCCAGATCTGCAACAGACATCGGCGATCATGGTTCTCCATTCATTCCTTTCCTCGGATGCTCTCAAAAAAGCCACATTTCCCTGATATTAAAATAAAAACAACTTTTTTTTGTCTTTTTTCCTAGGTTGTAATCGATGCGTTCCGTCTGATCAACCCTAACATGATGGCTCTGGGACAGGAGCCCCGGCAGACCACCTCCAACCTGGGACATCTCAACAAGCCTTCCATACAGGTCGGTCTGCTCGCCACGTGCCTCCTACCGTCTGGGGTCTGATGGTCAGGGGTCGGTGGCTGGTTGGGGCTCTGGTGGGGGGTCGCTGCTTCTGCCCTATCAAACATCTATCGTCCTTATCTCTCCTCTTTTTTGTGTTTGCTACTCTCTTGTAACACCTCTAATCTTTGGCACTTATATGACCTTATTGTGTTGCAAGTGCCATAAAACTCTTACTAAAACAAAAATTGTAATTCCCCTGATTCCGATTATTTGAAAGATTCCTGCTACCCCCAACCCACTGGAATAAACGGATGGAAACTACCAGATTCGGACAGTCTTCTGAGCCATTGTAGTCACTCAGTGACCCTTTGCCCTCAGAAAAACTATTAAACTTTAGAAGTACCAAAGCCAAGAGTAAGGCAAACATTAGGTTGACTAGGTGTTAGAAAAGTCCTGCCCTTTTGTGTTGTGGGTGATAGCAAGACTCATGAGCAAATTTTGAAACTGGATCATTGTTTGAAACTTGAGACTATTAGCTATTGTGGGTGTGTGGCTTGGTGTGTTATGATGCTCAATCGGGGTCAAAGGCTTGTGAAGCATTCTGTAGTTGTAGGTGGTTGGCGGGTGCTCTGATGTGGTTTGCTTCCTCTTACCTATCAAATGTCTATCGTCCTTATCTTCCCTTCTTCTTTTTTGTGTTTGTTACTCTCTTGTGACACCTCTAATCTTCGGCACTTATATGACCTTATTGTGTTGCAAGTGCCGCGAAACTCTTACTAAAGGCTAAAAGCATTCTGCAGTTCCAAAGGTTTTCTTTTTTTTTTTTTTGCAAGCAGTAGGTAACCACAAACACACTCTGACAATCCCCCCTCTCCCCTTTCATTAAAAAAAAAACTGGACAAGGATAAGCCCAGCAAGATTTTTTTTCATCATGCCTTTACATTACATTTATGCTTGGTTAGAACCTCTGTCACCAACACCCCAGAGAAGAACACTGTCTAAGGCTATATTACAAATTTTTAAGCAAGATTACTTATTTCTTATTTGTTGATTACTGAAATATAAGCTGGGTGGTAGGCCTCCCTGAGATGGACGTCTTGGACAGTGTAGTTATAATGTTGGAAAAGAAAAACCCAACTTTCTTGTGAGGGAGAGTGGTCTTTTGTACTGGTTGTTGGAGCAGACTCAACTGTATGTTTATGGTGAAGATCGTTTCTAAAGCGGCCACTCCCGTATGAACACAGCTCTAGGCGCTTTACATAAATGCATGTACGAACAATATTCACTCGCGGGCACGCACACACTCACACACACACACACACACTTATGTGCACACACATGCACACCAACCGGTCCACACCACAAGCACGCACGCACACACACATACACATCTACTTACTTATCACATTGCGCATGCTTCACGGCGTCACTTTTCGCCCGATTCTGTTACTTTTAGTTCGCGTGACTCAGCAGCCCGCTTGAGCTCCCCGGCTCGGGGTCACGGGGTTAATGAGCCCTGAAGCGACTTTGCCGGTGTCGGTTAGGAAGTTCGCATTTTTGACTATGTTTAAAACGATATAACTTCTTCCCCCTCCCACATAGCAAACCATCACGCAGATGTACTAAAGGGTCAATGTCTTGAGATTTAATCCGCGTTAGAATGATCAATTTCTGTGCCTTAGTTTTTGTTCTAGACAAGTG